TAATAACAACAACAACAGCAGCAACTGACTACAAGCAGCGGCATGACAAAGTAGCAACAATAGTGCATTGGAAGATCTGCAAGAAATATCATTTGCCTGTAAGCAAGAACTGGTGGGATCATAAAATAGAGAAAGTCATAGAAAATGATAAAGTTAAACTGCTCTGGGACTTCAGAATTCAAACAGACAAGCACTTGCAACATAATACCCCAGACTTAACAATTGTCAATAAGAAAGACAAAAAAGTCTCGATAGTGGATGTGGCAGTGCCTGGAGACAGCAGAATAGACAAGAAAGAACTGGAGAAGATAAGAAAATACAAAGACCTACAAATAGAAAGACTGTGGCAAAGGCAAGCAAGGGTAGTACCAATAGTAATTGGCTCCTTGGGTGCAATCCCAAAACAACTGGAGCACCACCTGAACCACTGGCATTGACAAATTTGCTATTAGTCAATTGCAAAAGGTGGCCTTACTAGGAACTGCTTCCATCCTGCGACAATATCTGTAATACCATCAAACATCCACATCTGCCTATCCCAGGTCCTTGGTAAGGACTCGATAGGTAGACAAAAATGCCAAATCCAGTCTGAATATCTGGCTGACTGTACGATGATAATAATAATAATAATAATGTTGGAAAGGAAAACCCTATACCATTTCAGACAAATGGCTGTCCTGACTCCTCTTAAAAACTTCCAGTGTTGGAGCATTCACAGCTTCTGGAAGCAGGTTGTTACACTGATTAATTGTTCTAATTGTCAGGAAATTTCTCCTTAATTCTAGATTGCTTTTCTCTTTGGTTAGTTTCCATCCATTGTTTCTTGTCCTGCCTTCAGGTGCTTTGGAGAATAGTTTGATTCCCTCTTCTATGTGGCAGCCCCTGAGATATTGGAATACTGCTATCATGTCATCCCTCGTCCTTCTATTCATTAAACTAGACATACCCAATTCCAGCAACTGTTCCTTATATGTTTCAGCCCCCAGTCCCCTAATCATCTTTGTTGCTCTTCTCTGTACTCTTTCTAGAATCTCAACATCTTTTTACATCGTGGTGACCAAAGCTGGATGCAGTATTCCAAGTGTGGCCTTACCAAAGCATTGTAAAGTTTACATAAATTACATAATTACATGTAAACATATATAGGTAAGTACTTGAAGTATTTGAAGTATTTTGTACACTCCAAAAATTTCATATAAAAGCACAACCTTTCTCTATGGAAAGAAAACTTTGTAACCATTGAGGATTTCCAGAAGCACTGAGAAAGATGGTATATGTATCAATTAGCCTACATAGAAAAAAATATGAAATAATCACCCTTAAAAATTGTCGAAAGTTACATGTGAACGCTGACAAGGAAGTAACAGCTAATTAGAAGGAGAGAGAATCTAAGGGAACTTCAGGGCTTAAGTGCTTTCTGGCAATATAACACATCTGACACAATGACCCATTAGATTGATGTATTCTGGCTCCTTCCATAAATAAGATTCATGATGAAGTCTATCCTCAGTCACAGAAGCTCACTTGGGCCAGTTACTATTTCTTAGCTTAGTCTTCTAAAAACAACTCTTCTTGGGAGGATAAAATGAAAATTGCATATACTACTGTATAAGCTTCTAAAAAAAGATGGTATATATAAACCTAATGAACAAATTAAGAACTATAAAGTTGCTACCATATTGTAAATGTTAATAGGGTAATATCTAATACATGGAGAGCTATATTGTGACAGTATCCAATAGTTGGGTGCTGTTATTCATCCTGTTAGGACATGCATGCTGTTCTTTTACATAACTGATCAGTCGGAAGAAGTGATAACACACTTTTCACACAGACAGAAACCTTCCCACACAAAAATGGGAGCCGATGTGCAGGAAAATAGGAAAGACGGAGATAGAAGACTTAGGAAAAGTTGAGGAAAAGAAGAGAAAAAATGTAGCTGGTGTATCAAAACTTTACTTTGCCAGAACAAAAATAGAAAACCTAGTAATGCTTGACAAGGAGCACATAAATCAAACATCTCTTTTATTGTGTTATTATCACATATTGGAAAGCCTGCAAGGAAGTGGGAGAATGGGGAACAGCCTCATACAAGAGACATATGGAAATGCCTTAGGTAAATGCCATTTGGCTTAAAAAAGTATCTTAATCATAGACATGAAAGTTCATAGACATGAAATGGAGCATCAGAAATTTTCCTTCCTTCCTTCCTCCCTTCTTTTCTTTCCTCCTTCCCTTTCCAGCAGGTAGGTAAGTGGCTGCTGATGGGTGGGGAAGTGAGGGATTGTGAGACTGGTTAAGAAACTGTCACAGAAAGTTGAAAATGAAGATCATGTGACCACAGCAGCAGCATGGCAGCTGCCAGTAGCACTGAAGCAGCCACAGTTTCCCCAAATTTCATTCCTTCAGGAGTCCTGTGCCCTGATTTTGGACACATTCTGTAAGTTAGCCATTTGAAGCATCTTGGTTCAAAAATTGTTGCTCTATGATGCACTGTTTCATCCACTTAAAGCCCATGACAATGACAGTATATAGATTTTCTTAGAGGATAAACCAAGACAGCTTTTGACAACAATCTTTCTCCAACAAAAAGTTTGTTTGACTCTGAGATGCACAAATTATAGCTATGTAGTAGCTATTCAAAATGAGACCATAATTCAAGGAAATGTTTTCTCCCTTATTCCTCAAATGCCTACTGCAAAATACAAGCCAAAAGAGAAGCCTTTTATATTTTCAGAACTAATACTGTTTACAGTTCTACAAAGAGCCTAAAGAAAGGGAAAAAACTTAACAGAGAAAGACAGCACCGTTGAGCCATCAGCCTATCGAATTCAAAATATTAGAGAATAAATATAATTAAAGACAAAAATTATTAGGATCTGAGAGAAAAATGTAGATAGTAATCAATCTGCATTAAGAATTTTGAAAACCCTATTATTATCAAAACTTGGACTAGCAGATTTAGACTTAGCTATACCTTTGCTTTTGTACTTTCTAAGAGGTCTTTCTTCCCATATAAATGCTACTTGTAGTAATGTATTTATAAAGTCTGATAAACCAAAATTAATAAAATCAATTCATCTGGCTTACTTTAATAACTATTTCAAAAGTTGGACATTATTTGAATTCCAATGTCAACATTAGGGCTAAGGTATTTTTTTCCTGCTGTAAGCCATGCTTTGTTGATTTATAGCCTCTGAAATATGTCTGACAACTCAATGAAGTCAAGCAGTTTTTCCTCTTTTTTTTAACTCTGAAATGATATTTGATGATGAAAGACAGTCAAGCTTGGGGGATGCTTAATGCACCAATTTCCAGTTTTTTTAGTACAATGCACCAGCAATTAGAGATATATTTGAGAGTGCTTACCAAGGACTGAAAAATGGAAAACAAGGGTATGTGCTCCAAGGGCTACCAATTGCTCACCCCTGCTCCAATGGAACAAATGCCAATATATTTACATTTGCTGAAATACAATCATTTTAGTTGACTTTTACAAGCTTCTCCTCCTCATCCTCATTTTAGATGTCTATTAAAGCAATGTGATTAAATTAAAATATTCAGAGAAAGAAGAGCCTGCCATGACTCTTGATAATAGGATCCACAATATTTGCTCACTCAAGTGGAATGAACTTCTTGTAACTATATCCGTACTTCTAAGGAAGCTAAGGGGATGATTAAGGTGTAGAGCTTTTGTTTTGCTGCCTGTTTTTATTACAGTTTTATAGGCATTGGTTTTATTATTCTGAGCCACACAGAGTTGCTTAAGATGGAGACCCATAGAAATCTTTTAAATAAATAAAAATAAATAACAAGAGCATTGATCTTGAGCTATTTCTGCGCGACAAGCTTTCAATGCTATCTTTTCTCTCCTCAAATTTCTCTGTGTTAAGCATACCCACTTCCTTCAGTCTCTCTTTATGAAACTTAATTTTAATCTTCAATTATCAGATTACTAGGGGTGTACAGAATGCTTGCTGTGAACTGTTTCAAGCTTGAAATTTCATAAAGCATCCTCTCTTAAGTGCAATTTAGGCTGTTCCTAGTGAGTTGTTCCAGGCATCTGGGGAAGCTTTTGAATTCAAAATAGGGGCACCCCCCCCCCATTGAAAAATTTGTCACAAGCTCAAAATGCTTCCAAAGCTTAAGGCAGCCTGTTTTGTTTTCAAAGGACAGCTTTTGACTCAGAGAAGGATGTTTTATGACATTTGGTGTTCAAGATATTTTGAAATTGAAACATTTTGCATACCCCTACTCGTTGCCCTTCTATGCAATTGTTTGCCTGATGAATCATTGTTAAAGTATGGTGCCCAGTAATGAAATACAAGATTTTGAGATTAAGTCTGACAAATGCACAATAGATTAAAAGCATTATTTCCTGTGATTCAGGAGCAATATTTCTATTGCATGTAAAATGGCTTATATGCAGACATATCACACCACTGATTCATGTGCAGATTGTCAGGACAATTTCAAGATCCAAATAGCTGTATTTTTTTTCCAAATCTGGCTATCCCACTTTATAAACAGAAGCAGATACCACAGTACTAATTTTACAAATTTAAAATCAGAACTACTGACAATACCTTATTTAAGACACTATTTCTCTTCATATACAAAGTCAATGATTTTGTATTCTATGATTAAAGTTTATGTCCACCCCCTTTCTCCTATTTATATTCCAGTTCTATGAAGTTACTTTCTCTTACACTGCATACCAAAGTCATGAGATAAATCCAAACAAACTATGAGCTTGTACTCCAAAAGAGATTTGCAAGCTAATTAGAGATTGTAAACCTGTTAAGAAAGAAATTCCAAGATAAAAATCCCATCTCATTCACATATTAGGCAATCAAAGACAGATAAACCTCTTTGCCTCATGCAATAGAAGGGGAGACATGTGAATTTTTATTTTAATACAAGTTCATTTTTAATATGTACATTTCTTAACAGCATATGAGTTTCTTTTCAACCACAAATGAAATAATTTTGTTACTTACGATAATTTATATGAATTTCATCTATTTCATTCTCTGTCTGGTGCTTTGTAAATATCATACTCTGCAACAATAGCACAAACATTATTTTTAATGATTAACAGATAAACGATATAAAATGTAGATGAAGGATTTTAAGTCATATTATCTTGAACTAAAAGAAAACTTTTCTGCCCATCAATATTGTTTTAGCATTACATTTTTAGAGGCTTATTTAAGGATAGGTCTTTTTTTTGACTTCCGGTGGTGACGGCCGCGCCGATGGCGACTTTTTTCAGCCATCGGCCCTGGGATGTGTCAAAGCCAGCTGAGACAGCGAGCAACAGCTGTCTCGCGGCTTGGAACCTCTCTCCCCAGGCGAAGGGGAGGAGGTGAGCTTTCCTTAGATAGTGGTAGAGCTCCCTGAGACCCCAAAGCTTTTTTTTGGGTGGTCGGGGTGAGAGCTCCCACGGAGTCTGGGGTGTTCTCCACATTCCAGGATGCCTTTGCCCTGATTTTTCTCAGGGCAAAACTAGACGCTGCTTCCACATCTGCGCTTAAAATGAATTTGTGATTAAAATTTAAAGCAGACAGAGCTGACCAGGAGAGACTAAAATGGGGATTATTTCGGGACTTTAACTCTGGAAAAGAATTTATCTTCTCCCTCTTTCAATTAAGAGTGGTGAAAAATGGCACTGAAATGTTGATTCTTCGAGTGAAAGGACCGGAACTTCTATTTGGAACAATGTAACAGACTTTGTATTTAAATAAATTGCAAGAATCTTCTTTTTTTTCTTTTAAGGGGGCTTTTGTCTTTTTTCCCCTCTCTTTTTTTCTTTTTTTTTTCTGAGTATTTGTTGATTTTATAAGATTTTAGCAGACTTTTTAACAAGTGGTCTTAAAAATAAAATGGCTTCAAAGTGTCTCGGAGCTTCTGTTGCTTCTAAAGCCTCGATCTTTCCGGTAATGCAGACAGCTCAGCAAGCTAAGTTTAAGTTACCACCACCTTCTCCATCGTCATCAGCATGTATACTTAAAGATTTACAGGTTGCCTTGGAAAAAAGGCACGACAGATTAAAGAAGAGATGGAGGAATTTTTTGAAAAAAAAAATTCATGAAACTGAGAGAGGACATAGTCTTTGCATTTCAAAAGTTTGTTGGTCATATAGATCGTCTGGATGATCGTATTGATGATGTTGTGGAAAATTTTGAAAAACTGGAAGATCGAATTGACAAAGTAGAAAATAAGGTGGAAATAATACAGGATGAAATTACTATGCTACAATATAGAAACATGGAATTTGCTTTAAGAATAAGGGGAATGAAGGAAAACATGTAAGAGGATTTGAGACAAGTGGTGGTAAAAGATATAGCTTTCATTTTGGGGGCTGAGCCTGAAGAAATACTGAGAGAGACGGAAAAAGTTTTTAGGGTTAATTCAAGGGTTGCGAGACAGAGGAATTTGCCACGAGATGTGGTTATTTATTTTTCTAGGAGATCACTTCGTAATGAAATTTTACAGGTTTTTTATAAGCAGAGATTTCAAATTGCAGCTCAAGATATTATAATTTTAAAAGAAATACCTTCAAAAATTCTTAGGAAAAGAAAGGATTTTGCTTTTTTGGTTGATGAGCTCAAAAAACGACAGGTCCGGTTCAGATGGGAGATACCGGCTGGAATAGTGGTGAACTATGCAGGGATATATTACAGACTTAATACAATTTCAAAGGCGAAAGATTTTTACATTTCTGTTTTGAAGGTGGGCTCTCCAATATCTTTACGACCTGAGATAATAGAAGAAAAGTTGGAAGAGCAGCCGGTTGAAAGTGCTATGTTATTGGATGTAGGAGACATATAGACTGAACCTCTGCAGCAGTCTCTTGAGACAGAAGATTTTTTAAAGGAACCGAGAATGACTCGTGCAGCCTATAGACATAAAATAAAAGAACAGCAGAAGGCGGATGTTGGAATAAAGAAAAGGAAATGATGAACTTTTGTAGTAGTTTTTTGAGATAGAAGATGTTTTAAAGGAATAGTGAATGATTTGTGTTTAGTATGTTTTAAAGGAATAGTGAATGATTTCTGTAGTATGTAGATGTAAAGAAAAAAGATTAATAGAAGGTGTTGATTTAGTGGAAAAGTTTAAATATCTGAGATATATATATTATAAATTTTTAATTTAAAGTGAAATAATTATGAGATATTATGGGTAAATGTGTAAAAGAATTTAAATTCTAATGATCTCTGTTGGTGAGAATTTTAGTGATTGAGAAGAATGGTCTGCTGAAACTTCTTAAGTAGGAGGGTATTAATAGATTTTCTTAGGGATAAAAAGCAAAGAGCCAAGCTTATCGAGTGTAAGTTTATTGGTTAGGTTATATTGGAGGGAAATTTTTGTGTTTATTATGGATGAATGGTTGTTTAAAAAAAATATACACCTCAGTGAGGAGAAGGTGAATAAATTACATGTAGAGTTCATATGGGTTTAAAAAGTATTAAGTAGATTATGAATAATTTTTAGTTTTTAATTTGGAAATGCTTATATTGTTATTTTTCTTTTTTTTGTATTCGAGTTAAAGTACATTATTGATTTTATTATTTATATAGTTGATTAAGTTTATTTAGAATTTGCTTGTTTATTTGTAACCCTGTAACCACTCTGGGAAGTGAGGGGGGAGGGAGGGAGGGGGTTATTCTAGGGGGGGATATTGTTAAAAACTTGTATAAAACTTTTCAATTAAAAAAAAAGGATAGGTCTTTTTTTAAAAATAGTAATAGTAATAGTAGTAAAGTTAGACGGGACCTTGGAGGTCATCTAGTCCAACCCCCTGCTCAAGCAGGAAACCCTACACCATTTCGGATAAATGGCCATCCAGTCTCTTCTTAAAAACTTCCAGTGTTGGAGCATTTACTGCTTCTGGAGGCAGGCTGTTGCACTGATTAATTGTTCTCACTGTCAGGAAGTTTCTCCTTAGTTCTAGGTTGCTTCTCTCCTTGATTAGTTTCCACCCGTTGCTTCTTGGCCTGCCTTCAGGTGCTTTGGAAAATAGCTTGATTCCCTCTTCTTTACGGCAGCCCCTGAGATATTGGAATACTGCTATCATGTCCCCCCTTGTTCTTCTCTTCGTTAAACTAGACATACACAATTCTAGCAACTGTTCCTTATATGTTTTAGCCTCCAGTCCCCTAATCATCATTGTTGCTCTTCTCTGTACTCTTTCTAGAGTCTCAACATCTTTTTTACATTGTGGTGACCAAAACTGGATGCAGTATTCCAAGTGTGGCCTTACCAAGGCATTGTAGAGTGGTATTAATACTTCACGTGATCTTGATTCTATCCCCCCGTTAATGCAGCCTAGCACTGTGTTGGCCTTTTTGGCAGCTGCAGCACACTGCTGGCTCATATTTAGGTAATTGTCTACTAGGACTCCGAGGTCCCTCTCACAGTTACTACTATTGAGCATGGTGCCACCTATGCTGTACTTGTGCATTTGGTTTTCCTTGCCTAAATGTAGAACCTTGCTTTTTTCACCATTGAATTTCATTTTGTTAGTTAGTGCCCAGTGTTCAAGTCTGTCCAGATCCTTCTGTATCTGAAGCCTGTCTTCTGGAGTGTTGGCTATTCCTGCCAGCTTGGTGTCGTCTGCAAATGTGATGAGTTCCCCATCTATCCCTTCATCCAAATCGTTGATGAAGATGTTGAAGAGCACTGGGCCCAGAACAGAGCCCTGGGGCACCCCACTACACACTTCCCTCCATATAGATGCAGTTCCATTGAGGACCACTCGCTGAGTACGGCCGGTCAGCCAGCTATGGATCCATCTGGTGGTGATTCTGTCTACCCACATTTTTCTATCTTATCAAGTAGTAGGTTGTGATCTACTTTATCAAATGCCTTACTGAAGTCCAAGTAAATTATGTCCACAGCATTCCTCTGATCCACTAATTTTGTCACTTGGTCAAAGAATGCAATAAGATTTGTCTGGCATGATCTATTTTTGACAAACCCATGTTGGCTTTTAGTAATGACTTTGTTTGCCTCTAGGTGTTCGTTGATTCGGTGTTTGAGTATCTTTTCCAGGATCTTCCCAGGTATTGAGGTCAGGCTGATAGGTCTGTAATTTCCTGGATCCATTTTTTTTCCTTTTTTGAGGATGGGAACTACATCAGCTCTTTTCCAGCCCTCTGGTAGTTCCCCTGTGTTCCAGGATCTTTGAAAAATATAGTTCAGTGGTTCCGATATCACATCTGCCAGTTCCTTGAGAACTCTGGGGTGTAATCCATCTGGTCCTGGCAATTTGAACTCATCTAGGCTGGACAGGTGCTCCCTAACCATTTTCTTGCCTCTCTTAACTTGTGTTTCTGTTTTGTTTTTTATGGCACTATTTTTGATAGGTTGGTCTGTTTTTTCCCTTTGTGTACAGACAGATGCAAAAAATGAGTTAAATAGTTCTGCTTTCTCCCTGTTGCTTGTCACCTTCTTGCCACTTCCACCCACTAATGGACCAATCGTTTCCTTCACTTTTTTCTTGTTTGTTACATGTTGAAAGAAGCTTTTTTTGTTATTTTTGACTTTGGTCGCAAGCCTTAGTTCATTTTGAGCCTTGGCTTTCTTCACTTCATCTTTGCAGGCTCGGGCTATTTGCTGATATTCTGACTTAGTTATGTTCCCCTCTTTCCACTTTCTATACTTGTCCTTTTTATCATTCAATTGGTCAGAGAGTTCTTTATGCAGCCATGCTGGTTTCTTTTGAGAGCTGTTGTTTTTCCTCTTTGTTGGTATTGTGCTAGACTGTGCTTTTATTATCTAATTTTTCAAAATTTCCCAAGGTTCTTGAGTTGTTTTCCCCTTGAGGATTCTCATCCGTGGAATCCTTCCCAAGCCCTCTCTAAGTTTATTGAAATTAGCTCTCTTGAAGTCCAAGACTCTAGTTTGACTGTTTTCTATTGCTTGTGCTTCTATAATGTTGAATTCTAATATTGCATGATCACTTCCTCCAGGGTTCCTATGGCTTCAACACCTTCTATCATTTCATCTCTGTTAGTGAGAATTAGATCCAAAATGCCTAATCCCCTAGTTCCCTTCTCTACTTTTTGGGAGACAAAGTTGTCTGCTAGGTTTGCCAGGAACCTGTTTGATCTTCCACTTGGTGCGGAGTTTGTCTCCCAGTTGATGTCAGGGTAGTTAAAGTCCCCCATTACTATTGTGATGTGTTCCTACATACCTTAGTTAGCTGACTAGCAAAAAGTTCATCTATTTCCTCTGTTTGGTTGGGTGGTCTGTAGTATACACCTATGGCAATGTCATTCCCCCCCCTTTTATATTGACCCAAATGCATTCAAAAATCATGGAACGTTGGTGACACACATCCTATTATTATGAGCAAAACCCCAAAGATGCTGCTGCTACGTAATCTCAAAGTGAATTGAGATGCCTTCAGAACAGCAAATCCATATGCTGAAATTTATATTTTTGTCTGCAAGAAAAAACTTTTAGAGCAGAGGCCCCCAACCTTTTTGGGCACTAGGGACCGGTTCCGTGGAGAGAGGTTTTTCTGCGGAATGGAGGGGACATGGTTTTGTTTGCTGCCTGCATCCCGTGGAAGGGGCTTTGTTTACGCTGCCCAGTTTCTGGCATGTCGTAACCCAGTGCCAGTCCACAGACCTGAGGTTGGGGACCCGTTTTAGAGAATCTTCAGAGTAATATTCAAAAGGGGAAAAAAAACAATCCATGCTAGTGAAAATGACTTTGTCCATTCCACTACAGGTTTCACCACAACTGATTGCTGAATGCAAACAAAATCTAGTCAATGGATTCCACAGGATCATCCCTTTTTCACTTTCCTTCTTACGTAGTTAACAGTGGCACACAGCCTCAAAAAGGTTCCATGCAGTGGCAAAAAAAAAATCTATAAAAAGGATAAATAGGAATACAAGATCTATGACAGCTATAACAGTCTCATTTCCATATTTAAGCTCCTCAGATTATATTAAAACAAACTGAAAAGTCATTCCCCATCTTCTTCGATAACCTTATCTCACCCAAAAAGATACATTGCCCAAAAGGCTAAGTCATGGCTCCTGACACAGAAACAATGTGCCAGGCTTTTCAGATTTCTAATATGGCACTGCAGGTTTCAAAAGTATAAAGGGGATTGTACAAGGGGAAGGGAGAATTGACCTACTAGGAATCCATGTGCCTGAATGATAACAGTAGTGAAATCATTTGGGATAGGGGCACTTAGAGTACATGCATTTAAGTTTGTTCACAAAGGGGTTCACAAAGTGCAAGACATATTTATTCAGAAAATATCAGTCATTGAGAAATGGGGGCTAATAGAGATAGAACAATTCTTAAATACTGTTTCACAAAAACTGAACTTAATCTCCAGTTGCTTTACTATCCTGATGCAAGGCCCAAGCAAAATGCAAATCAGTGATGTTTCACTCTGTGTTATGCTGGATATATCATCACCATATTTTATAAAATCAGATTAGGAAGGTAGTTTAGCAGGTACTAAATTATCTATTTCTGCTATGAAAGATTGGTATGTCTATCACTAGCTGTTTAATTAGACATTAGTGATTTATAATTAGTAAACCTTCTAAATATCAGGAGAGAGATTAGGCTAGAATTCTAAAATACAAGTACAAAATACACAGATTAAGCAAACATTCATTTATACATTTTTTTTCAAACTGCAATTGGCAATCTCCATCAGCACATCAATGGAATCATCAGCAGTTTGATACTTGGTAAAAACTTTCCTTTTTAGGAAGGTCAGCCATATACAAGTCTTTTTGTTATTATCGTTGTTCTTGTTATTTCTTGCTATTATGTATTTTATATTTCTATGTTAATAAATGGCTTTACTATTTTGCATAATCTAAAATTCTGTGGCAAATGGGCAGAACATAAATGCTTTAACTGAAAAACAAAAACACTCTCAAAGCTTTGATTTGATGGTGGCAATTAAATAGATGGAAGCAGTTTTTCTAGCATGCAGTTCAATATTAGATGGTTTCTGACATTATTTCCCGTCAATATAAACTTTAAGGATGGGCATAGAATGCACATTTACTTGGCCTTTGCAGTGACATTTCAAAAGTCAACTCTTAGTGGGGAGATTACTTAGCAGGCATATGAACAGAAAATAACACAGGCACAGATATATCAAGCAAAAGGGACACATGTATAACAAGTATCTATCTACTGATTACAGTACAGGCACTACAATGTGGCATGGTTTTTGTGCAGAAGGCGTGCATCTTGAGCAGAATAAAAGAGACTCCAAATGCAATCTTCACTCAAGCTTGAGTTCAACAGGACATACCGTACATGCCGCCGTATTAGGCGACCCGGCGTATAAGACGACCCCCGTCTTTATAGCCGGGCCGCATTCCTAGAACGTCGTCTTATACGCCAGAAACTACCAGTATTTCCGGCGTATAAGACGACTCGGCGTATAAGACGACCCCCGTCTTTGGCACCGATTTCAGCGCTCGCGGAAGTCGTCTTATACGCCGGCATTTACGGTACTTCTATTCAAAACTATGATTATCACATGCTGAAATGCTTGGCCAGATTTGGTAGCAAAATTATCCACAGATATCTATCTACACATATGTATCTACTAATTTAGCCCCATTATTCAAAAAAAGTCCACTATGATTTTCTAATAGATAGAATAGCATATTTAAATTTATCTTCACCAGGACTAAAATTAAAGCTTATTAACTTACATCTTCTTTGGGTTTACTGGCATCAAGTTGTGCTTGAGTCTTTTCAATGTTTTCCAATTCTTTTACTATTTCAGCAACTGTTAGAATAAATAAACACCATTAATAGCAATTTAGCGCTCCAGTAACTATGACTAGATCCCAGAACAAAATCAATATTTTCAGTTGTTACGTAAAAAGTTGGAATTGATGCGTGAAAAATGCATTATAAATGATTTTTTACCATATGTAAATAGAGTAAAAACCAAAGAGATATACAGTAAAAGGTAAAGTAAAACTAATAACTAACTAAGAGAGGGAAGACTGGTTCAGTGCAAACTAGTGAAAGAGGTAATTATTAGGAAAGCTTTTTTGTTGTTGTTGTTAACTAAAATTGCTGTAAATGAATCCTGTGAGATTCTCCAGAAATCCTTGATGAGGCGCTGGTTTTGAGCTTTAAACTTTTCTCCCCATAATCAATACAGTATTTTCTTCCAAGATCCAAGACCAAAAGAAAATGATATTCCAAAAAACAGATGGACGGATAGACAGACAGATCTCTAAAATTGTTTATCTCCAACACTATCAACAGCTGAAGTTCAAGGGCTAAGAAACTTGAGCGCTGAAGTGTGCTGAGAGAGCTATGAACATCACCAGCACATGTATTGTGGAATACCAACTTTTCTCCAAACAACACTGTCAATTTCTTGGCAATTGTGATCAATACATCTCTATCTGGACATACTAATAAAGGTATTCTTCAGACTGTACAGCTTGAAGATTTGGACAAACTGCTTGGAAGCTTGACACACAGCATACATCCCTTTGATCCTTCTAAAAACTATCAGGGCTTGGTGGACCTTATAAGTGATAAATATTCCAAGGAGTAGCAAGATGCCTATTATTTTAATGACTTAGCAAATAATATGAGATTCCACAATATTTATTTCCATATTCTTTTAAAGTATTGAAGAATGTGTTTCCTCTCGAGCTATATGGCAACAATGCTGATTATTTAGATTTGGTTTCAAATCCAAAGACAACAATCCCACCAATATTACAGGAGCATAATAGTGTGAACAACTGGTATTCAACAAACTACTGGCCATCATTTTTGTAACTTATCTTCTATTAGTTTCCCTTGAGTTATTTAAAGCTTTTAGAACCAGCATGGTAATTTAATAATAATCATTATCATAGTTTATTAAATATATATTCTTCCAGACTGACTTAGGTTGATATGACACAGGAGCAGTACAATGTTATGAAATTTAATATTATTATGGACTGCTAAGGACAATATATTATTAGCTCTCATCAGCCAAAAAAGGGAGAACTTTCAGCCAAAAAAGGGAGAACATTGCTTTAATTATTCATGATTTAACCATACCTAGGCTGAATTCCATCCTATACACTGGTCTATGTTTTCAACATAATTTGGAATCTTAATGACATGTTGCCAATTAATAGCAAGTCAGATTGCACTATACTAATTATATTGGTTGTCAAACTATACTAATTATATTGGTTGTCAAAGTGACTCTGAATCTCCTCTTCAGCTGTACCAACCTGCTGACTCTGAGATCAGTATTCAAAGGTTTTACATGTGCATCCACTACTATGAACAATTAGTAGCCTGTTTTTCACTGGCCATTTAGTTGTAAACCAATGGATATCTATCATATTTCATCAATATAAGCTTTCACTTCAATCCTAAAGATTCAACTCTTTACTAGAGCCAGCTAATGATTTAGGATTGTATTTTATTTTATATTATATTTTATCTAATCTATTTATTGAATTTGTATAGACGACCATCTGTCAGGTGCAAGGAACCAGAATGACACTGTGAGCTGATCAATGTTTCTTTAATTCTTGCATGCCTATTTATAAGAATTTTGCCAGAACATCTGCATTTTCCTGGGAATGGTCAGATAGGGCTTCAAGAGTTCTGGGGGAGGTGAGATCTGCATCACTTCCAGCTGTGCAAGGATTCTAGGCTTGCCCCTCTTCACACTTCCCCCCACTCTAGCTATAGATTCCACCATACATTTCCCCAAAAGCAACTGTGGGTGGTATGCAAACAATTAGATAAAAATCACAAATATAAAAACAACAGATGTAAAAAATAGAGATATCTATATTAAGAAATAAATAGTATAAAAAACAAATATTATGTAGGTGTAATGCAGTCTCATTTTAATCATTAATTATAACATTATCATCAATATTTGTATATTTATCATTGTTGTTGTTAATTGTGAAGTCGTGTCCGACCCATCGCGACCCCATGGACAACATTCCTCCAGGTCTTCCTGTCCTCTACCATCTTCTGGAGTCCATTTAAATTCACACCTACTGCTTCAGTGACTCCATCCAGCCATCTCATTCTCTGTCGTCCCCTTCTTCTATTGCCCTCAATCTTTCCCAGCATTAGGCTCTTCTCCAGTGAATCCTTCCTTCTCATTAGGTGGCCAAGTACTTGAGTTTCAACTTCAGGATCTGGCCTTCTAAAGAGCAGTCGGGGTTGATCTCTTCTAGGACTGACCGGTTTGAACGCCTTGCAGTCCAAGGGACTCGCAGGAGTCTTCTCCAGCACCATAGTTCAAAGGCCTCAATTCTTTTGCGCTCAGCCTTTCTTATGGTCCAACTTTCACAGCCATACATTGCAACTGGGAAAACCATGGCCTGGACTATACGCACTTTTGTTGGCAGGGTGATGTCTCTGCTTTTTAGAATGCTGTCTAGATTTGCCATAGCTTTCCTCCCCAGGAGCAAGCGTCTTTTAATTTCTTGGCTGCAGTCCCCATCTGAGGTGATCTTGGAGCCCAGAAAAATAAAATCTGTCACTACCTCCATTTCTTCCCCATCTATTTGCCAGGAATTGAGAGGGCCGGATGCCATGATTTTGGTTTTCTTAATGTTGAGTTTCAAGCCAACTTTTGCACTCTCCTTCTTCACCCGCATCAAGAGGCTCTTTAGTTCCTCTTCACTTTCTGCCATTAGAGTGGTATCATCTGCATATCTTAGGTTGTTGATATTTCTCCCGGCAATCTTAATTCCAACTTTTGATTCATCTAGCCCTGCCTTTCTCATGATGTGCTCTGCATATAAGTTAAATAGGCAGGGCGACAGTATACAGCCTTGCCGGACTCCTTTTCCAATTTTGAACCAATCAGTGGTTCCGTGTTCGGTTCTCACTGTTGCTTCTTGACCCGCATATAGGTTTCTCAAGAGACAAATGAGATGGTCTGGTACTCCCATCTCTTTAAGAACTTGCCACAATTTGTTGTGATCCACACAATCAAAGGCTTTTGCATAGTCAATGAAGCAGAAGTAGATGTTTTTCTGGAACTCCCTAGCTTTCTCCATGATCCAGCGTATGTTGGCAATTTGATCTCTAGTTCCTCTGCCTCTTCGAAATCCTGCCTGTACTTCTGGTAGTTCTCGATCCACATACTGCTGGAGTCTAGCTTGTAGGATTTTAAGCATAACTTTACTAGCATGTGAAATGAGTGCAATGGTGCGATAGTTTGAACATTCTTTGGCATTGCCTTTCTTTGGAATTGGAATGTAAACTGACCTTTTCCAATCCTGTGGCCACTGTTGAGTTTTCCAAATTTGCTGGCAAATTGAGTGTAGCACTTTTACTGCATCGTCTTTTAAGATTTTGAATAGCTCAGCTGGAATACTGTCACCTCCACTAGCTTTGTTGTTGCTCAGATTTTCTAAGGCCCATTTCACTTCACATTCTAGGATGTCTGGTTCGAGGTCAATGATCATCTCATTGTGGTTATCTGGGATGTTAAGCTCATTCTTGTATAGTTCTTCTGTGTAGTTTTGCCATCTCTTCTTAATCTCTTCTGCCTCTGTTAGGTCTCTGCCATTTTGGTCCTTTATCATGCCCATCTTTGCATGAAACGTTCCCTTCATATCTCCAATTTTCTTGAAGAGATCTCTGGTCCTCCCTATTCTGTTGTTTTCTTCTATTTCTTTGCACTGTTCATTTAAGAAGGCATTCTTATCTCTTCTAGCTACTCTCTGGAATTCTGCATTCAATTGGGTGTATCTTTCTCTTTCTCCTTTGCCTTTCGCTTCCCTTCTTTCCTCAGCTATTTGCAAAGCTTCCTCAGACAGCCATTTTGCTTTCTTGCATTTCTTTTTCTTTGGGATGGTTTTAGTTGCTACCTCTTGTACAATGTTGCGAACTTCCATCCATAGTTCTTCAGGCACTCTGTCTATCAGATCCAGTTCCTTAAATCTATTTGTCACCTCTACTGTATATTCATCAGGAATATGATTTAGTTCATACCTGAGTGGCCTAGTGCTTTTCCCTACTTTTTTCAATTTAAGCCTAAATTTTGCAACGAGAAGCTCATGATCTGAGCCACAGTCAGCTCCTGGTCTTGTTTTTACTGACTGTATAGAGCTTCTCCATCTTTGGCTGCAGAGCACATAGTCAATCTGATTTCTATGTTGACCGTCTGGTGATGTCCATGTGTAGAGCCGTCTCTTGGGTTGTTGGAAAAGAGTGTTTGTTATGACCATCGTATTCTCTTGACAAAATTCTATTAGCCTGTGCCCTGCTTCATTTTGTTCTCCAAGGCCAAACTTGCCTGTTATTCCGGTTATCTTTTGGCTTCCTACCTTAGCATTCCAATCCCCCATGATGATAAGGACATCATTTTTTGGTGTTAATTCTATAAGGTGCTGTAGGGCTTCATAGAACCGGTCAATTTCATCCTCTTCAGCACCAGTGGTTGGGGCATAGATTTGGACTACTGTGATATTGAATGGTTTGCCTTGGATTCGAATTGAGATCATTCTGTCATTTTGGGGATTGTATCCCAGTATTGCTTTTCCTATTCTTTTATTGACTATGAAGGCTACTCCATTTCTTCTGAGGGATTCTTGCCCACAGTAGTATACCTGATGGTCATCTGAGTTAAATTCACCCATTCCTGTCCATTTTAGTTCGCTGATTCCTAAGATGTCGATGTTCAGTCTTGTCATCTCTTTTTTGACTACGTCTAGCTTGCCTTGATTCATGGATCTTACATTCCAGGTTCCTATGGAGAAAAAATCTTTACAGCATCGGACT